AAGTCATCATTTTCCATGATGTTATATGCATGCAAGTCCCTGTATACTGATCAAACCGAACAGCATACCCTGGAATCATAGACCGCATGATGAGATAGTCGATAGCATTACCCCATTTAGCGGTTCCATTCAAGGTTCGCCGGATACCTCGATCTAGGCTTTCTGTGAGCCAGTCCGAGTATAGGCATGGTTGCACTATAGTAAGGTCAGGAGGAGCCCGTGCAGTCCACATTTGGAGCAGAAAATCAGTCATGTCATTTAGAAATGCTTCGCGTTGGATCTGAGGAATATGGAGATTTCAGATAGTCAGTGGCGTACCATTGACCCTTTCCGAATATATGACCGGGTGTTTTGGGCTGAGAAAAAGGCTTGGTGCTTTGATTGATGTACATTGTTCTTTCAAACATCAGAAAGTTTTCACTGCACGTAGTTCGTTTTTCCAATTATTGGAATCGTGACCGACTCGAGCAGCCCTCTCTACAGTATCCTCAAAGGCAATTTTGAATGGTCTGTAGGAGCCGCCATGGCGGGGTGTTTTATCGCCAAAGGAGGAGGGAACCCCTAGGCGGAGTTGGCTGGCCTCCGAGAGAAGATCTGGCAAGTTCACCATGCTGAGGCTTTTAAGTGGTCTGGAGCTGATGTGAAGCGGGGGGTACGGGGGATAAATGGAGAGAGAACCGGTGAGTGTCACAGCGCCAAGGCTGTTTGCTTGTGACGCAACGGCCAATAGATCAGGACATTGATCCCCTTACTGTGTAGCAACGTGCGTGGGCTGATCCTAGTTTTTGTATTTTATATTATATTTGCGTTGAAGGATGTGTTTCCAGTTGACAAATATAATGGGTATAATATATTTCGTGTGGCTTGTCGTCTTAAAAACAACGGCATCTGCGGCATACAGTTGGGAATTCCACTGATTTGATACATGAAAAGAATGTGAATACGCATATCTTCTGGCGTGGGTGTGCCGCCGACTTTCCTTTGACTCATTATTATGCTGAGTCTGAAGATTTAAGAATACTCTTGCATCTAACATTGATTGGATCAGAAGCAAGCCAACGAAGTTTGTATTGTCTGCGGCAATGTGTCATCAGATACGGACGGGGAAGGAATATCCCAAGTTTCCTTGTATCTGAATTCGTCATGGCACAGATTGGGCAGTTCACCACTAGCTGCGGTTGATCATCATTCATAGAAATAGCTGGCCATATTCAAGTCGGCTGTCCATCCATTTGCTGTAACCTGTCTCGTATCGCTTCATGATCATTATTCCCTTCATCGTCTTTGTACTCTTGAAGCACAATGCTCCGCATAACGCGCCTAGGAGCGCGGCGGCCAGTGAACAGTTCAAACTGAGCGAAGCCTTGTTCTGGCAGAACATCAAGGCCATCCAGGGCTACCCAACCGCGATGGGATAGGGCTCGTGTTTGTTTCATGAGAGGGGTATTGAGGGGCTTGTATGCGAGCTAAAATCATTGGTTAGGAATAAAACACCATTATTTTGGGTTGGTACAAGAGTAAAAAGGAAACTTACGTCAACAACAACGCCACCTGTCGGGCTCTCTAGCCATTGTGCTGGCATATGGAAATTAGGTGCTAGCTCGCCGCCAATGCTATGAGCCGGAATTCCTGAGACAACGATCGTCGGCTGTTTGAAATCGGCAGGCCAGGGGTCGGATAATGAAGCAATAATGCGAACTGTGGGACGGCCAGACCCGCTGGCTTCTTTTGAGTGTAGATCTTGCCGGTTGTAGTGGTGGGCCAGTCTTTCCGCATTGGCGATCGTACGGTTGTAGACAAAGATATTTTGCACACCAAGATGGATCATGGAGTAAATTGCAGCACGGGCCATTCCACCAGATCCGATGACAAGACCTGTCGATGATGAGCGTATCGCATTTGCCGGAGACAGACCGCGGCGAATGCAATTGCAGATACCAATCCAATCGGTGTTATCACCGTGAAGTCCCTTGATAGGGCCGGCACGGCTCTTTTGGAGAAAGACTGAAGATTCTTGAAGACGGTTGTCGTCCAGGTCATCAAGGTTGCGGATGGGGATGAGGGTATTGACGGCACCGATAGCTCGTGCATGCGCAGACATTGAGTGGAGGAGAGGGATACACTCTGTTTTGTATGGAAGACTGACACTCGATCCTCCGAAGTATTGATTTTCCACAAGTTCATTTAATCCCCGTAGAGTAGGTGATTGGTGAATGGAGTAATTGTGCGGCAAACCGCAGATTTTGAAAGCCGTGTTGTGCATCGCGGGCGACATACTGTATGTGGTGTTGGCGCCAAAGACGAAGAATTGCATCGGGTCCAAGGCAAATGAGCTATAGAGCGCCTTCTGCACTTCGCGGGCTGTGATATACGATCGTAGGTGAGTTGGAAGTTCCGTTACCAAGGACGGATGTGTGACTGGGGAGAGAATAGGATTGAAGCAACGAGACATGCGGCCAAGAGGACCGGTGTTATAGGCGATCAGCGAAATGCCAGCAACTGGCAGGCTTTGGATGCGATGGCGAAATCTTTGCACCGCGAGGTTGTCTTCGGGTGTCTCAGCCGGTTGGCATAGTCGGACTATGTCGCATCCTAGGCTTTTAGCCCGCTCATAAACTTCCATATACTCATCGCCATCCCAACCCCCGGGCAGAGGATGGAAGGCTTCGAAGTGGCCAATGATCCTGGTTCGTCCACTTGAGGAGATGATCTGGGAAATGATATTGTCATCCCGGGTGAGGTCAACTGTGAGGAAACCGGTGGAGAGTCGCAAGCCATGGCGGACGAGGTTTAGGTACGTTTCATCGGTACATCTCAAGGGAACTTGATTGGGAGACAGAGATCCTGTAGGGGTGGTATAGCTTTCCACATGATATATCAACGGCACAATGATGTTGCGACGGATTGTTGCTACCGCCTGACTAATACTGTCCGCAAGACTTGAGCTGAGGCCTGGCTGACCAGAAGAGTCTGTTACATCGACTGCCAGTTCGAAGGCATCGGCGGTGAATTCCAGCTGCTCAATATCCATGCCCTTCTCACAAATCTTAGAAAATGGCACTGACACTGCAGATGTGTACATACGAGATTCCACAGGCAACAGCGACAGCGGGAAAGATGCATGCTGGCTGTTAAGTTCTGCAATGTCCCCGGTTATGAAGGCGATGAACCGGAGAAAGTCCCGCTGAACTCGTTTCAATGTTAAAAACGGAATGGGAGTATGTGACCTAGGTTCTGTTCGATACGTCGGTGATGCAACATCGCTATCACTTCTGGCCTCTGACAGATTGAAAAATTCGAGATTCGAGCACCCTCGGTATATCGGTCCGGACAATTCTAGGAAATGTCGCACCTTTTGCGTATCCCACGCTTTGAGATATGACTGGATGCTCTCTGCATCTCTAACAACGTGGATAACAGGATGCGTCTGCGCATATTCCCTAAGAAGTCGTTGGCCATTGCGTTCCATCGACCCGGCCCCGCACGCAATCACACACCCATCCTGGTTGTCTGCTAGCATCGACTCAAAGACCCGGGCCTCTTGTAGTCGGTAAACAGATCCATCATTTTCCTTCTTAAACTCAGCACGGGAACATCCCACAGTCTGATGAAAATAGCGGTCTGCATCAATCAATCGTCGACCGGATGTCGCCGCGAGAATGACCGCCAGACTTGACTTTCCCGTGCCACGGATTCCGATCAACACGACAGATGCCTTCGGACTGAAGGTCCGTGGGGTCTGAAGATGGCCCTGTTCAAACAGTATTGGAGATCCGCGGTTGGAGTTCAATTCTTTGAGCGACGGTGGATGCGAATATCCGGATGCTTGTGTGCGTTCACTCGATGGACGTGAAGGTGGTTGAGATGAGGGGAGAATAGTGTGAGGGGGCACGACGCCTGGGCTATACTTTCGAGGCCCATCATCTAAAGTCTCGACTTCGTGGAGCTTTCGTTTCGGTGGGCGTACCAACATGGACATGGCGCATAGAGTGTTCCACGTGCGGCAATGAAATCAGGAGCAGGCTAGTTGAGGACCCATTACCACAGAGGGAAAGGTGGGGGCCACGGTAGGGTATTGAGATATGTGTATAGAGGATCCGGAGATGTGGAGGGAACGAACCAATATGGTAAGCGGGATTTTCCAAGGTTTGCGGGGGAAAAGGATATTCGTGAAAAAGGCGTGGGTCTGGGTGCCCCCGGGCCATACGCTACCGTTACATAAGGCGGACGAGCACTCACCCGGCCATCCCATATCAGATTTTGCCTGCAGTATGATTCGTAATATAGGTATTTTATACATTTGAATACATAGAGTTATACATCGAAAAGTCCTTCATGTCTGAATTCTCTACTCCGTACATTGATTCTCAATGAATATAACTCTTTCTCCATCTAGCTATTCACTAGATAAGTTTCCGGTTTATAATGAAAATATAGAGTACTAATTGTCTAGGTAATTTGACGGTAATGAGGCAGTAATGAAAAGCTGGCGGTGAGTCAGGCGGTCAATATCTACTAGTATAGGAAAATCTGATATGGCGGTTAAAGATTGCCGTAACCCGGGGACTTTCGATTTTCCTCTTCCCCGCGGGGGACTTGCGCTCAGATACGAACATGCGAAACAACTGGGGAAATCATCGAAATTTCTGAAGTTTGGTCTGAATTGCGCCCCTAGCTTACCCAAAAAATCAGCTTCAAATTCATAGCTTAAAGCTCAGTCTGCACGCGATTACCTTTTGCGAGACAGTGACTGGCTCACCGGTAGCCGGGTATCGACCCTTCCCCGGAAGAACCTTGTTAGCAAGCGTCTTGTTTTGTGCTGCACCTAACCTCAACATCGCGCTTCCCCCAACAGCCCTGATATATTTCCAGTGCAGCTCATTTTCATGGCGTAATCGCCTGATCGTCCGTGCAGGCGCCTGTCGGCAAAGGATTCGTCACATATCACTTGGGGGGAACATGCACCCGAATCCTCCAAGTGGATCGCAAAATCAACTACCATGAGCGCCGAACAGCGGCAAGCTACCGGCTCTAGCAGCAAGTCCAAACGACGATGGCCCGAGCCAGAAGATGACGGGAAGGCGACAGGGGAACCGAAACGTCAGCGTGTTTCACGGGCTTGCGATAGCTGCCGGTCGAAAAAGGACAAATGCGACGGAAAACAGCCAGTTTGCTCGACTTGCGCATCGCTCTGCCGACCGTGTACTTATAAAGCCAACCCAAAGAAGCGAGGCCTGCCCACTGGCTACATTCGCTCGCTGGAGTTACTTTGGGGGCTGGTATTCCAAAGGATCCAAGGCAGTGAAGATGTCATGCGAGCTTTGATGCGATCAATCAATCTTCCAAGTCACTTGGCCACGATGGGCAAGGAAACGGAGGGGTCCGATGCATTGCTAGCTTCCTTCAAAAACAGCACAGTACTCAGAGATATTGAGCGCATTCTTATAGCACTAGAACAGCCGGAGGAGGAAAGAGAGCGAAATATCCAGGGATGTGGCGATGGAGAGACACCTCTCGATGTCGACGGAATTCTTTCGTCCGCCGAAGCACAGGAATGGCAGATCCCAGAAGGCATGGAAGCTCGCGAGACGCCATTACCAGGGATATCGCCGACTCGAACCGCAGGAGGCATCGCTCCTACGAAAGTCACCGGACCACGCCCGACTACAGACTGTGGTATTCAGACAAGTGCACCAGATTACCGACCCTCGTCCTCTTTCATCTCCTCGCCGAATCCTCATTACCCTCGATCGCTCTCCATGAAAACCCCTCTTCAACTCCCCTATAACGCATGGCCACTTTTTGATGTATATTTCTCCTACACGCAGTGTTGGTTCCCCATACTCGAAAAGCATGACATACTTCGTACCGCTTTTCAATATACCGAAGGCGATGTATACGCATCGTGTTTAACCCCCGGGTCTGGGGAACACGCGGCCTTATGGGCTGTTCTCGCTCTCGCCTCGCTCCAGGATGCTTCTATCTCAGCTTCCGGTGAAGCTGAAGAGCACCCTACTGATCATATGACTCCATCACGAATGTATAAGACTGCCCGGCAATTGATTCCGCCTGAAAGTGGCCCTCACGAAATCGGACATGTGCAAGCACTGTTGATCCTGGGTCTGGTCAAGTTTGGACAGCAAGAATGGACTGGGTCATGGATGCTTGTCGGTCAGGCTGTTCGGATTGCGCATATACTAGGTCTTGATCAACCTTCGTTTTCTCCATCATCGAGGACTCCGGATCAAGAAAAACAGCTTGGTCGAGCAAAACATGTGTTTTTGGGTTGCTTTGTTCTCGAGACTCTCATTGCGGAATCAATTTCACAAAGCCCATCGCTGCGAAAGGCAGACCTAGCCAGGGTAGGCGCTATCAATGAAGATGGTCTTGAGGAATGGCATCCTTGGGAGGATCAAACTGGGTTACGGCCCACCCAATCATCACGGGCATCTATGCAGCGTGGTCCCCTTCACGCGTTGAGTACTTTCAACCGCCTCGTCGGCCTCGTATCCATTTTGAATGATCTATGCTGTTGCAAGCACGACCCAACGATATCTCGATCACAGCTGGAGCAACTGGAGTTGCAATTACAGCGATGGGTAACAGAATTACCAAAGAGTTATCGTGTCGATCTACAAAGTCGCCCTGTGAGACTGGCTTCTCCACATATTTTTGGGTTAGAGATGACATATGAAAGTGTTGTCATTGCTCTCAGCTCTCAAATTGCCATTCGTGAATATGATCAGAACATACCCGAACCCCCTCACAAAATTCGTGCTACGGAAAGCTCGAAAAAACTTTTGCAATTGCTTCAGGCATATGTGGAGACATATAGCTTTTCAGCCACAGCACCAACCTTTGGTTTGATGCTTCGATTTGGCCTTCCACGGTCCATCTCTAGGGATCTCCCATCAGTTCTTGACATGGGGTTACGAACCAACATATACAATCTCTCTTCGCAGCTTTCTGTATTGTGGACTATGCCAGACCAGCAAACCGCTAGTCAAGGTATATCACAAAGATCTCAACACCTAGGTACTTCTCCTGCGGTCTCACAGCATATTGGTGCCTCTACCGGCGGAGATTTAGAAATCCCGTTATCGCTCTCAATGGCCACACCTTCACATCATCTTCGTGCAACACATGCGTCTCAAAATAATGCTCATGCCGCGGCTGCCCCTGAGAACCCATTCCTCCCCACGCCTTGGCTCAGAGCCACACAACACATCGAAGATGTATCTCTCCTCCGCACACCGTCCTCTCTAACCTCCGTCGGGGGCGCCTCTGAACTTCCCCCACAACAGAGCCACTTGGATGATTCTCTTAACATTGGGCTTTCTCATCCTACATCAGCGCCTAGCCAATCCCACAGTACCGGGATGCTCGCCGAGATTTCGCCATCGTATCACCAGACCGCACACTACCACCCAACGGCATATCACGACTCATCCGTCAATATGAGCACATTTGTTGATATGGATGGCTATGCGCGTCCACGGAGGCAGCGGATTGCTCCTGATCTCGATGCATTATTTGACGAGCTGGCGTCATTAGATGGTGCAGAAAAGTATGCATTTATCCCCTATTTCTTTGGCATAATCACTGACTTTAACCCTCTGTAGAGCCGACAATCAACCAGAGTTCATGCAGAACCTAGGTTTTGTTTCTAATGCGGGCATTCCTGAGCTCTACTCGTTCTCCAGTCAGATCGAGCCTTTCTTACTGGCAGAGACCCAGCAGCTACCCAACAATGGCAATACCTCTAGTATACGACAAGAAGCGCAGCTTCTTAATATGTCGGGAACCCCCAAGCGATGACGTGATGTGGAATCACTCCATTCTAATGATCTGGATGCCGTGGGAACACCCTGTCGCCGCTGGTCGGCCTCGTTGGCCTCTGAGTCTGCTATTCATATGGGACTCTGGACTAGAGCTATACATCTAGTTGTTGGCTCGCATATTATATCACACATTCGAAGCCTCAAAGGGGAGTCTCAATTTGTGTCTGTGTGTGTTGTGTAATGCGCGGCGCATCTCTACAATATACAAAGCTATTCCAGGCTAGGCAACTGGTAATAAAAAATATCCTCTATGACACATATGAAATCACTAGTCTACAAATTCATTTCTTGGAAGGATGAGCGCCTTTACAAGAGGACTTCTACATGAATCCATAAAAGTTTCCCACAAAAAAAAAAGAGTATATACAGTCACATATCCCAACTCAATCATAGCGCAGCCTTAGCCTCCTTTTCCTTCTCCTCGAAATTAGCACAAACATGCTCAACTGCAACCTTATACCCGTATACCCCAAGACCAACAATAATGCCCGCAGCCTTATCACTGAAGTACGAATGATGTCTCCAGGGCTCGCGCGCATGGACATTGCTCACATGGAGCTCAATAAAAGGGATACTGACACCGAGCAAGGCATCGCGGATCGCAACGGAGGTATGCGTGTATGCGCCTGGGTTGATGATGATACCGTCGACCTTGCCACGCGCCGCCTGAATGCGGTCCACGATAGCGCCTTCGTGGTTCGACTGGAAGCTTTCGAGAACAGCACCATGGCTGGCGGCGACCTCGCGACTGTTTGACTCTATGTCGGAGAGCGTTGTGTGTCCGTAAATGTGTGGCTCGCGTGTACCCAGGAGGTTCAGGTTAGGGCCGTTGATTAGGAGGATGGATTTACCCATTTTGAGTGGTTTGATATCCGAATTGAGGGATTCGATGGTATTTGGGGGATTGTGAAATTGAGAGACTGGATATTTCAAGGGTTATAAGATTGAAGGTAAGCAGGTTATCGGATATATTCATGTTATACTCGTCTCTCCGCATTTTGCCCGGCCCGGCAGAGCGCTTTGCCGTGGATGATTTTTTGGGGTCAACTAAATCTTTCAAATGTCTAAAATTAATACAGAACTTTTACAAGGACTATTAGGGTAAAATTCAATTAATTCTTTATCTGACTAGAGGGAACCTGGAAGTCGCTGAGAGAACAGCAGTAGAAGGGACAACAAACCGGAGATTGAGAGAAGGCATGATACCGGTTTGTATAACTTATGTTTGCTTCCACATGTTTAAGAGGGAGATGCACGATGGGTAGTATGGCATAGCAGACAAGACGAGAGCAACCTATAACACTACCTACCAAGTAGGCCAGCTAGCAAGCATGGGACTAAAAAACATCCTTTAATTCAGTTCTTGTGCGCCGTCGAGTCTCCCTAACATGACAAACCAGGGCAACATGATGGCCCGAGTTCCCTTACTAGTTACAATAACTAGGAAATTGTAATTATTATTTACACTATCATAGGCTGAGACCGAGCTCATCTTCAAGACACGTATGGAGTGAGAAACTTCGTGCTCACAGCATCCGGAAGACTATATGTAGGCACAACTTTCAAGACCAGTGAACTGCCTTTGACGTAATTTTATTCAAAAAATAGGAAAAGTTAGGGAAAGACAGAAATTACGGTAAAAAAGAAACTATATTAACCTGGAAACACCCCAGCTATGACGTTGTTGAAAGACAACACACAAGACCACGAGGGAAAATGGTCACCACAATGCAAAAAAAGAGAAACCACCATCTATATCAACAGTTACCAAGACTTTTGCTCCGATCCTGTACTGCAATCGGAAGTTGAGTGTTCCTCTTTTATCTTTCTCTCTATTTTCTCTTGGGTTGGACCTCTTGGCCCAACCTCGTCTGTGGTCGTCCAGGACCACAACTTTGATTATTTTTCATCGGTTAGATTCGGTTTCGACGTAGGCTGACTCCGGGGATATTGTTGAATTTCTGGAGTGCCATGTTGAGTGTTTCTTGCAATTGCAAGAATGAGGTAAAGGGGGAGGTGGGATTGTGTCAGGATCATGAAAAAATCATGGCGCTGACATAGTGTTCGGGAATGAAGCGCCGAAAAATGCCGTTTCATGAGGGGATTGGAATCCAAACGGGGGGACTGCGAATGGCTTTACGCCTCCGACGCCCAGCGGGACTCGCGCAGCGGCATCTCCTCGCCAGCTTGCTTGCGGCTTCCGTCTACCTCGCGCTTCCACGCGTAGTACTCGCCGAGACGGGTCTCAGCGTAGCTGGCGTAATCGAAATCGATTTGGGAGATTTGCGCTTGGATGAGTGCCCAAACACCCCTAGGAGATATGATTAGCATGATATCACCATTATGCTGATCTTTCAATTTTGTTCGCTGAACTCACCAGTAAAGACCGGGAATGCCACGGAAGCGGTCAACATCCTCGTACAGCCGGTCGACAATCTCAGCCTGGGACGAAGCGTCAAGACCGCGTTGTTCACAGTAGCTCTTCGTGTACTCAGTAAGGAACTGACGGCGCACAGACTTTGTCGGCATCATGTTGTAATCGCAGTCGTAGCCACCCCACTCAGCAAGGTGGTTCGATATATCGAAGGCCGCGGGTGCAGGAACCGCATATTCATAATCGATGAAATTGACAGGCGCGACACCGTCTTCGGGGGTTGGGACACCGTTCTCGCTTGGAAGGACAATGACGTTGGCGCAGAGGAGATCGCAGTGCGAGAAGACGAGCTATAAACCCAGCGATTAGCCATTTATTCAACAAAGCAATCCCCGTTACCAGCAAATTCAGGCTAGGAGCCACATACCCCATCTTCACCAATCCCCTTCCCGTCGTCCAGCATATCCAAAACCCACTGCAGCTCGGCTTGCAGGCTCAACCGGCGAGCACGCTGCTCGGGTGTGGTCACTGGCAAAGCCAGCACCCACTTTTGCAGCACAGCCCACATAGATGGGCCCGCGCGTCGGGGCTTGATTACAGTGATCTCATCGTCCTGGGAGTTCGCAATCTCAGCCACGGGAGCGTCCTTGTCAGGCACGGCTGCGCTACTAGGAAGGACGGCGTGCCACTGCGCCAAGCGGCGAGCGACACCGCGCCAGATGGGCGGGGAAACTAGATCTTGGTGGTTGCAGGGTCTGCCGCGAATGAAGCGGTAGAGCAGGCCGTTTTTGAATCGAGCGAGGAGGGGCGGGGCCAGGCCACGGTTGGCCAAGAGTGCGTGGGACTTGGTTTCTCCTAAGAATAATTGATCTACTTCAGCATATGTCGCAATGGGCAAGAGAGGCGCGGAGGGGCTTTGTTTTGTTGGAGAAGTGGGAATCTTGACGAAGATTGTCCGTCGGGGGGATTTTGCTCGTACTTTCGCGATCTATGAGGATCTCTGTGCCATTTCCGTACGCCCTCATCAGTACTGCCTCATTGTCTATTTGTTCCTCCGTCAGGCCGGGTTTCAGGTTGATAATTTTCAAGAGCTAGGGGGCTGTTAGTCTCGGTTTAATTCCGAAAAGCTTATTGCTGGTCTCATGGGAAGCAATACTGGGAAAGAGGGACACACGGTGTTGGTGATGCCGTCGGTGAACCGCACGAACTCAATGTTGTTGTCAGGACCCTCCCAGTCGGGGTTGAGGGTCAGAATTAGCCTGAGAGCAGATGCCTGGGAGTCCTCATGACTGTATGATAGGGGAATGTATCGGAATTCTGGCAAGGGCGCCTGAGTGTATGTCGAGCCCATGTTGGGGTTGGGTGGAGCGGAGGTAGAAAAGGGGTATGGGCGCAAGTCGGTTTGTGTGCCAGGAAGATTTTGTGCTATTTGATTAGTTCACAACTGCTTGACAGGCACCCCTATATCAGTGACGAGGTCCTCGAATTCAAGATTTAGGTAATTGCACGAGGCCAGGCTGCTAGCGCAGGGTGCGAATGGCGATAAATTCTAGAACAAAGTAAAGCACAATGTGGAAAGGCGGATTCTGTATTATGGCGAAGGTACAAAAGATTCAGGGGCGAAGAATTTGAAGACGCTATCGATGGCGGGGAGGTCAATGAAACAACGAGGGGAGGTCTCGTGCTCCCGACCCGTGATTGGAAGATGGGACGATTTTCTGGGGCCTAGGGTACATTCTTGAGGGCAAAAGGGACTTGTCCGCCGCCACTATAACTGGTAGTATATGGATGTAATAAGTTGTGGTTCTTTGAAGATATAAGCCTATTGGATACCTATAGAATGATTTCTTCATCTCATGCTATTTGTTTCAACCGCAATTGCATGGCGAAGTCGTACTAAAACATCTTGATTGCGCGAAGTATGTACGATGTACATTGCTTTCGGCAGGTCCAAGTCACGGGGCAATCACATGAAAGACAGCCTTGAAGACAAAAAGAGGGTCTATGGTCACATGCACGGGCCAAGCCCTGAGCTTAGCCCTACTTACCTAATCCGACAAAATCCCTCAACAAAAAAAGCGAAATTAGTCATAAAATCCAGTATTAGTCAACGAAATGGAAAAACCCTTCCACCGAAGCCCAATCCGCTCTAGCGTATATTGACTTCCAGACACATAAATAGGACCTCCTCGCCCGCGCCTTTACTCTTTTTTTCTTTTCTCTCCATCATCAGTAGAGGTTTACATAACTTAATGTAAATTTCAACGGGGCTCCACAATGTGGCTTGCTGAGGGTTATCCTATGGTTTCGGCCATCATGGGTTTTCTTCCGTTCCCGGCCCTGGAGAGTAAAGGCGTCTCTCTTTTTCCCAATCACTTTATGGCTATGCTAGGGTATCCTTCGGGAAGCCCCATGGGTGCTAGCTGTGGAGAGGGCGTCACATACCATTTTTTCAGTCACTTTGATGTGTTCTGGAGGTTTTGCTTGCTCTGATCTTCGAATTTGATCAGAGGTTGCAGCGAGCGTAGTAGCGTTGGATACTGCGATTTTCAGCTGGCTCGGTACACGGTTTAAATGTTGTAAAAATTATCTACAACTCATCCTACAAAGAGCATCAGAAACTTCCCTAGGCTTTATGATCTCTTGCGATGCTGTATCTCGCCAAGACGAGACCATAATGTTCTGGTCTTTCTTGCCAAGAGATATCGTTGATGTCGGCATGCCGAGGCCTTAAGGTATATGACTCAAACTAAGTCACTATATGTACTACTCTTCACCGCTGAAGCCGAAATCTTCATTGTCATCACCGTCATAACTTTTAGAATTTTCTATCGTGTATTTTTTCACATGTCACCAATCATGCATGCCCAGCATTGCCAATCTGAATGCGCTGTCCGGTCCATTTGTCGTCACTGCGCAACACCGGCCAGCTAGTGCCATCGGCCTTGATCAGGCTCAAATCTAGCTTAGTGCCCAGTACGCGGAAAGTTGACTTCTCCGGGTCAATTGGCGCAAAGAGAGTATATGTATCCTGGTAGCGCTTGTTGTCCGTGGTGGGAAGGTCGAAACTAATCGAGTTGGTAGCAAACTCAACCTTGGCCCGTTGCTTGTCAATCTTCTTGAGATAGAGGGAGACGTTCACGGCGGTGGGAGTCTGGTAGAAATCGTTCCTGTAAAATGCGAAAGTTTGTCAGTTTGCTGTTTTCAAACCAGAATAGCAGAGCTAGTCTGCCCGTATACGCACCTGACTGTGTCCACTTTCTCCTCGCCCGGGGGCTTGGCCTTGCCAACAAACATGTGCCTCGTCTTCTCTGTGCAGCCGGGGATCTTCAGAAACTCGTCGAACTCGAGCACCCGGCGTTTGCAGCAGGACCACCCCTTGCTGCCCTCGTGGAAGACCGGCTGGCCCGGGTGGTGGACGCACTTCTCCTCATCACGAGCAGTCGACCCAGTATAGGACGCACCACAACCCCTCCGACGGCATGTTGCGTTGGCGGGGACCTCCGCATCAGGATCATCAGACTCGGGCTCCTCGATGACTGGCTTCTCGGGCGGTGCCGCAGTAGCGATAGTTGGGGTAGCGGAGATTGGTAGTCGCTCGGACTTCTTCTGCTCCGCCGGTGTAGGAGCAATGACTTCCTCGGCCTTGGAGGGTTCAGGCACAGGTGTGTCATCGACGGTGGAATGCTTGCCGGTAGTGCATGGCGGGATAGAGAGGAATTCCTCAAAGGTCAAGACGCGGGGCTTGCAGCATTTCCAGCCTGAGAAGTTAGCGGTGTCGCGGGGTAGAAATGTAGCAGAAGCCAGCGGCAAGATCAGGTATCACTTTGCGCTGCCACAATGGCCCACCATGAACCGTTGGTGGACTTATGGGATACAGATCTGGCATAGCTTGAACACCAAGGTACTTACCTTTCTGCCCTTCGTGGAACACTGGGGGACCCGGATGATACACGCAGTCTTCTTCCGGGTCGGTGAAGGCCTTTCCGCACGCTTTGTGGACGCACTTGCCTGCCATGATGTGTAGCAAGACAAATTATAAGGAAATTGACGGGACTGAGTCGAGAGAAGAGATTGGAAAGTGTTCTGGAGAGTTGGAATGGCGCAGGTTGCCTAACAGGGTTTAGCGGGGAAGCTCGAATGTTCCATCGCGGAGAACTCTCTGACCGCGTTCGCATCACGGCACCACCGGCCATCTCGAAACACCGTGGTTGAATTCATTCCTTGCATAATCGAGATTTTCTCTCCATGTTTCCTACGCATTTACTTCTCAGTTCAGCCCGCTTGACGCTGTTTACACGTGCGGGCTGCGGCCTATGCGATACCGCCAAAAATACCGTGCTTCAGCTCCAGAAACGGCGCCCCTTTGAATACGTCGAAGCGGACATCATGGAGCCCGGGAATAAATCTTGGAAGGATGTTTACGAGTTTGATGTTCCAGTCCTCCACGTCCAGTCAGTTCACAATGGCTTGCCCAAGGAGGCCAATCTCTCCGACGCGCGCAAATTGTTCCATCGATGGACAGAGCAAGAAGTCGAACGATCGGTAGATGAAGCCGAGAAGACACAGTCTTGATGATTTTACTTGGTGATTTGTCCAACTGTACCGATTTGCCATGATCCACTGGCGGGAACTGCGCATACCGGGGCATCGACATCGTGATATCTCACCAGCAATGCACGTCGCGCTTGTTGTATTATCTCTGTCTACTCGCTTCTCCAGTCCTGCTGGCCAGACCTATATTGCCACGCACATCCCATAAGGGGGTGGATTTCTGTATGTATTCGATCTATCTTTGACCGTCAGGTGGATGATGACAGATCTACCTAAATACCCTATCATTGTACAATATACTCCGTATGTAGTCCCTATTTAACCAGGATGTCTTGATTGTCAAATAATACTTGCTCTATAATTACAATTGGGTTTCCCACACAAATGCCTCAATACTCCGAACTCGTGGCATACCTATCTAGTATGTCACAGCTCAGTCATTTTATCTCGTCTCAAACTACCCAAGTGGACTGATAATTATTATATGCACACGTTTACAATTTCCTTTTGTACATATACGTAGATAGGGCTATTATCGAGGGCATCCAAGGTCAAGTATAAGTAGTACATATAGTACGGAGTAAATCGATATGGCTAGGCGGTAAGGAAATAGCCACCCTTGGTTAACTAACTCCTAATGTACTCAGTACGGAGTAGAGTAGCCCTTTCCAGATATCATCGTCACTATGCAAGAAGATGCGGCATATCATTCAGGGTCTCTGATTTGATGCGGTGAGGTTGGACTGAATCTTGGACTCTTGTTTCACCTTCAATTTCTCGTCGAAATCCGAGTTTCACAACAATCTGACATTGTGACCCTCACGGTTCTGCCACGCGACTCTACGCGTTCCCATCATTTATTCCTCGGCAAATCATTCCAGAACAAGATATTTTTGAATTCCGTAGTAAGCGGTTCTCAAATCCGATCTGTGGTGCTGGCGTAACATCTCTCGCGCGCACAGTGCAAATAATTGTTCTCGCTTCACTGTGACGCATGTACTTCGCGAACCAACCAACAACCATCATCTTCATCATATTCAGTTCCACTTGATCGGTTGAAAAAGTTCAGTTATTGATATTGGTGAGTGTTTTTCTTGAATAAAAGGCTCTTTGTTTGTGGCTTTATGAGGACTACAGTCAACTCAGAACTATGATCCCAACTCCGAGAAACGCAGACTAATACTCTCACATTCATCAATCTAATTCTTTACTCATTTGATTAGGTAGCTGAAGCCGATAATGCCTGATCAAACGCCAATGGCGAATGGCGCCGACATTTCGCGGCCACCATCGGCTTCATCATCAAGGACTTCTTCTGTACAGTCAATCCACCCTCTAAGATTTAATTGTACGAGATGTAAGGCAAAACACAGGCGCTGTGACCGAAATAGACCAGGTAAGTACCCCTTGACTTGATAGGGCAACACAATTGCAGGTGCATTGATGACTGACTATTTGCATAGTCTGCAACACCTGTCGGACCTTGGGCCTTGAAGCTGAATGCTTATATCCTTCTGCGGCCTTAGCGGGGTATGTCTGTCCGTGATATCAGCTTGGCCGAGTCAAAATGACTAACTTATATCATCTAGTGCCGAGAACATAATCACCAAGAAAACTGGTACTCCATTCTCAGGGCCAATGTTCAATAATGATTATGCTTTACCTGCTTTACCCACAACAGGTGACAAAAGACCAAGAGCTGCAGACAGTTCTTCTGGACGAATTGAACCTGTCAATGACGTGGTTGGATTACCCATCCAAAATTCTTTCAGCCACACCCGGCAGACGCAGATACTCCAGCAGCCTGCTGCAAAGCGGTACAAGATATCCGAACTTAGCCCTGCAACTGGAAAAGCCACAAGCACACCTGCATTTGAACGAGGTCAAATTGCACCATTTGGCATACTCAGTGGGAGCACACTGGATCCTCCACCGCGTATGCGTAGTATATCTCCTACTCTGCCTCAAGACGAAATGGAGCTCAGGTGCAACTTGACCACCGAAATCAATGTCCAGAGAATGAAGGAACACCGTCTTACAGCAGGGCATTTGCGTAACATCATCAAGCTACTCACGAAAGCCAAGACCGAACGCCCAACCACTGAACCCACGATTGCCGGATCGAGTGCTATACTGTTTGACGAGTATCGTGAGGAAGATGATCTCATGAGGTTTGCAATAATCAAGCTGAAAAGGGGTGGCCAATGCTCTCGTGCTCTTCTCAGTCGATTTGAGAATTTCGTATATGGCCCATTGATGAGTCCCGAGGAGAAGAAGATGCAAGAGCGTGTCATATGCGTTGAAGAGTGCCTGTCAACTAACTCGGCGTCACTGACAGTCGATCATACCGACCTGTTCCTCCTCCGCCTTAAAAGAATCATACTTCATCCTGATGTCTATGGCTTAGACGAGAATGACCCACGCATCGCCTTCCTGCGAGACGAGCTCCTTACAGCCATGGCGACTGACTCGAAGCTGAGTCGTCCAATCCGTAGGAAATTCGCGGAACTTTTAGACCCAGATGGAGAGATTGCCGGTATCAGCGTAGACAATCCAGGCATCGAAAAAGAAAGCCCAGAGTCGAGGAAGGTGCTACCCAAGCCTACTTCTTCACGCGTGCCTTCCTCGCACGCGCCAGAAACACCATCGAGAACAATAACAACAAGCAAACAAAACTCTGTCACTGCTCTGTCTCCTTCACCGAGCCATCCCTCTCTTTTCCCCCCACTCTCTCTTTCAACAACCCATCCTCCCCCTGTCTCCTCTCCTATTTCATCTTTATCCCCACCACCTCTGGAAACGATTGATTTGACCAATGATACCATGTCGTCGTCATTTCCCTTCATCGTGAAGCGTACGCCTAAGAAGCGTATTGACTCTGGCAGCCAGTCGTCGCAATCCAACAGCACTGCAGCGTCGCCTTTCGTAGAGCCAGCTTCCAAGAAACGTCCTGCTTCTGGCGCGCAGTCGTCGGACCTCGACAATGTTATCGCTCCGTCTCAGAGGCGTTCTGCTCCTAGCAGCCAGTTGTTCAACTCCGACTTCCCAAAAAGGCTCTGGAGTATCTTCCTTGGGAAACAGGCTTTTTTCTTGCCAATTCTTGATCTCGACCAACTGAAAATCGCTTTTAACCTGGCCGTAAACCGTGGGAAAATTGACCCCACAGTCATTGACCCAACTCTCGGGCTTTGTATTGCAATTGCCTGCCACCTGGCTCCTTATCAGAACCTTGGGGAAGCCCGCAAGTGGTTCGATGCAGCTTTATCTAACATGGCTGACCCAATCAAATCTCGACCTTCACTTCAATCTTTCCACCACCAAATTCTCCAGGTTCACTATCTCCATATGGTCGGGCACTTGCGAATGGCTTGGGACATCTTATCTATGTCTATAGGCAGAGCGCAATCTCTTCGGATGCAAACTATGCATGGTGGATGTCTCGCCGTGGACGAAAAGTCGTTGGAGCAGGTTCGGCTGGTATGGCAGTGTCTCTGGACGAAGAAACTATTCCTCACTCTCCAGTTTGGCGTGGTCGATCAATCCCTCGACAGCTTTTACGACCCACCCATGCCGATGCAGTCGCATATTACTGACAACATGGGAGTATCTGGCAAGCAAACCATCGAACAATCCTATACGACGTCTTCTTTTTTCATTGCTTCTGCTTCCCTTATTAAGTGCACTGACGATTTGATCACCGTTGAAAATGATCTACGTGTGACTCGCATGGAATGTCCGATCAAATGGCTTTCTATTGTAGACCTACGTGGCTTCCAAGGACTGAATGAGAGACTCTCGAGCTGGAAGAACGGTCTGCCCAACTGCCTGGAATGGAGAGGCCCTGACATCGAATGTGCTATGCAGAAAGACCTTCTTATTCGCCGCATGTCCCTCCTGGCTCATGTGCGATTTGTCTATTTCCGACTTCGTCAATACCGGCCGTTCTTCATTTTGAGCCTTCGACTTTCCCAAACGTGCGCCTGTGAAACGAGCCCTCATATCACTGGCAAGGATATCGATTCGGTGGATGCGTCTCCTGTGCTCGGCCTAGTGTATTACAGTGCTGTCAAATGTTTGAGTGCTGCCCAAGACATTGTGAAAACTTTATCTGTATCCTTCACCACCACAGCAGATGAGTATGCTAAGTGTGAGCAGCTTGAATATCTCTACGCTGCTGCCCTCATTTTGATTGCTGCCCGGACAGTTCCGCTTGTCTTGAACGGTACCCCGCGGGGTATATCTGCTGTATCTGCTGCTGCCACCACGGCGAAGTCCTTCACAGCGATGACCGAGGAGCTAAAGGAAATTGACGTCTTGTTGCGCAACTACCAAGAGAGTTGTAGACAAGCCCCAAAACTCGAACAGAGAATCGCACGTTCGCGTGATGTTCTCGACCAGATCAAACTACAGTCAGAGTCATCTAATGGCATAGTCACTGACAGCGACATCAGGCTTGAGCCAGTTATCTGGAACCGGATCTATGATAGACTCGGCCTCAATGTTCCATTCCAGCGATTCTCAGAACCTCATTGCCCCGCTGGCTCTGCGATTTCAGGCCGTAGAAAAACACTCGCTTGGCTGGAAAGTCTCCCAGTGGATATAGACCTTGAAAATTAGGGTCCTTTCTGTCGTTGATACAGCTGCGCTGAAGCGCTGGCAATTTCACTGTTCTGTAGGGAGGAATTTACCCGTGGATCCTTTCATTTTTAGCTTTGAAAAATGAAATCCCTTTCTAAATGGTTCTTTCGATATGTAGATATGTGGTATCTGGTTAGTGGTTGCGCTTGATCGTGGCAGTCTAAGTTGTAATGGTCAAGGCTTCGCTAGAGTTGAATAGGAGATCCAAGCGGTACAGGACTGGCTAGGGACATGGTGCGTGGCCTTATATAGCAAACCAGCGGAAAATAATAATGATCCTACGTGGGGGGATTGAACCCTGGCTGGTTATGGACTGATGTGTCCCAATTAGGAAAGGGTGCTATATAGGTCACATTAAAGATGTACTGTTACTTCCAAACCCACCCCGATTAGCTCAGTAGATGGGGGCTCTGAAGTTCTCGCTTGGGATGCTGAGAGTGTATATCTTCAATTGGTTTCGGGCTTCATGACCCCGGGGCACAGTTAAGATCAGGCTGCACCTCCTAAGGCTGAACGAGAGAGGATGGAATGTGTCGCCACACCTGCAGGGTAATTGACCGGGGCCGAAGTCCGAAGGGGGTGTGCGGTCCCAACGGATGGAAGTTCGTGGGTTTGGAAGCCCTCTTTTCTTTTTCTATATTGACATTACTTTTCAACGACTCACCTAGTGTTTTGTCCTATAACTTCTCGCTTGCAACCAGCCACACGGTACACACCCTCGTTGCTGTGTTCTACTCGAGCCTCCAATTATCCGTTGCATGCTGTCACATCTGACTTGTAAATCGCCACGGAAGAATGAGAAGAGACCTTGAGGTCCCGAGACGGTCGCCAACTTATTCACCGAGGATTGACTCCCTCATTCCCGTATATGTCTCGTTCGACATCTCATTACTCCCCCCGCCAGGCAATTTGGGCCATCACAGCATTTCCCCTTCGCTCAGAATGTGTTCTCCATACACCAACCAGGCTAACAACTTCGTTCCTCGCATGGCACAGAATGGTCATTTGAAATCAAGTACAAGCTATTCATCACCATCTATCGCAGATACCCTCCGCTGTGGACCTATACCTGAGGAGCGGTGGTGTCATCGACGTTCAGCTAAGAAAGTCAGTCTACAGGGGAAGGCCATTGGTATGGACGGCGAAGGTGAGACTCTTACTTCTATCAATGACTTAAGATACCCGGCTAAGACAAATGACACAGAGCATGCTGAACTCGTTCACGGAAATACAGAGAAAGCGGGTGCTTGCAACGTATCTTTCACCGAAGTCTCGATCACGTTTATCCCTCTACCAGACTCTAGCACCGACTGCACAATCAGCAACTGCGTGTTAAACCCTGTTCCTACACCTGACAAGCAATCTTGTGTTCAGCTAGATATCCCGCTTGCTGAGACCCGGATGTCGTGTTGCTATCAGTGATATACTGGCTCGAAAGGAACTCATCCAAGAGGTGGTCAACAGTCTCTGCCACGCATACTTTGAGATATACTGTCAAGACTTCAAGTAGTACTTGATTATACACCCTGCATCCCTCCGGCGGACTGTTTCCTTGTGTAAAATCACGCTACATTCGAAAGTACATGGAATCCAATTCCATGCCTTTGATATTTCATTGGACCACCAATTGACAAGCGCAAGAGCACGGAGTTGGGTTTCCTATTGATTGGTGAGTTTTCAAGCTACTAGCCAATGAGCCCGTGATCTTAAAATCGATAGAATCTGAAGGCTGTGCATGATATTTTCATCTGTAGGCATACTGCCGATACTATATTGGATTCACTGTCGTCAATGCTCCTAGGAGGTGCGCTATCTCTCCAAACAATCATTGATAGTATATATTAATCATTCCAACTAACTCGTCTAGCTATCAATTTGACAGCATATACCAATCCTAATAGCACAGGAACCTCGATCAGAGGCCCAACAGTCGCAGCAAGAGCCTGGTTACTATCCGCACCAAACATCGCCACTGCAACAGCAATGGCCAATTCAAAATTGTTGCTAGCAGCTGTGAAGCTCTGCACAGTCGCCAGCCTGTATCCGAATCCCAATTTATATGCAACAAGGAGGGTCACAAAGAAGATTATCAGGAAATAAACGATAAGTGGTGCTGCAACTCGGACCACGGATACAATTTGGTGGACCACATGGCGGCCTTGCGAGGCGAATAAGACAAGGATGGTGAATAGCAGGCCGATGAGAGACCAGGGACTGATCCATTTGAGGAAGGTTTCATCGTACCATTTGGCAGAAATTCGTCGGAGCACGAACCGCGTGACGATTGCGGCCCCTAGAGGTATTCCGAGAAACACCGCAACACTTTTAGCAGCCGTTGAATATTCGAATGTGACTGGATCGCCACTGATGACGCTGATGAAGAACACCCCCATTGGAGCGAAAAGAACCATTTGCAGCACTGAGTTGAGAGCGACGAGGATGGCACAATATTCGCTATCGCCTCCGGCTAGACCTGTCCAAACTAGTACCTGGAAGAAACTAGCGGTTAGCATTGTCTCGTTTCCAAGAGCCGTTTGAGTGGTGTCGACTTGCCATAGCAATGCATCGTGCCAATCCAACAATGATCAGCCCCTGTCGCAATTCTGGCTCGTCGGGCAAAAAAGCCCAAGCCAAGGCCAACTAGTGGAACCAAGTCAGTGAGAAACTCCGTGTCATGGAAGTGTTGGGATCACGGACCATAAGAAAAGGGGCAATAATCCAGTTCAGAAAAATACTGAAGGCGATCTGGATCCAAATATCTTTCGCTCGCAAAACATGATGCAGGGATTCAAACCGAATCTTGCACAAGATAGGGTACATCATGACCAGAAGACCCACAGCTAGAAATACATATTCAGTTAGCGAAAACTACAAAATCATTGCTGGTTTCTTGTGCGTACCAATGGGGACAGAGACTCCCACAAATTTCCCCCTTTGTAGGGCAGGTCCTGTGCTTGGGACAAAGTTGCCCAGGATGATTCCAATTGCCATGGCAAGAAAAATCCATATTGCCAAGAATCGGTCAAGGATACCGAGACTTGAGAACATGGATTCTTTCTTCTGTGGCTCATCTGGAGAAGAGGTCTCCCGTTGCTTTTCAATGTCGCATGTCTTTATTTGGTCGTTGGGAGGACTGGACGTACATGTCTGTGGTCGTATTGATGTCATGGCGAGTGACCAAGTTTGTTCGGTTAATGGTTGATAGAAGATATAGTGGCCGGATTTGAAGATGTAGCATGGAATTCTTGTATTCGTCTAGATGTGTCCATGAATATTTATATTTGTATAGGTCTAGATGGTAGTGGTATGTCACTGACGGGCGCTGATTGGCTGAAGTGCCAAGCCGAGGCCAACCAATCAGACTTTGGTAGTGACATTCCTCATAGGCGGCGGGGTATCCGGGGTATTCTGGCTGCAGAGCCAACCGCCTGATTGTCAAATCTCTCAACCCTCAAGCTCGGAATTTCTCTTGACATAATGTCAGCCGAGCTTCCATGGCATGCTGCATATCCCGCACCAAGGGGCGCGGCACCCTCCATATCACGAGAAGAGCTATTGCAATGGATCCGAGAGGGTAAACAAGCAGGCAAAGACTTTGTACTTGTTGACTTGCGTCGCACGGACTATGAGGTACGAACTGTTCGAAAAAAGCGACATCTTCATGCGCTGATTTATCAAAAGGGAGGGACGATCCAAGGGTCTTTGAACTTGCCAGCTCAGAGTTTATACCCCACGATCCCAACATTATATTCTCTTGTGTCGAACAGCAGCGTGAAATATGTGATTTGGTATTGTGGTGAGCTTTACTTGATACATATGATAGCGATATCTTGAAACGCGAATACTGATCTGCATTCAGGGTCATCTGGGGGTCGAGGTACTCGTGCAGCCGGCTGGTTTGCGGATTACCTTGAAGATCAACACGATAAAGAGATCAAGAGCTTGGTTCTCACGGGGGGCATCAAGGGATGGGCTGCGGCTGGTCCGGAGTATACATCCTTGATGAATGGGTATGATGCCTCTGTTTGGACAAAGTAGAAGCACTCATTAAATGACATGATGTTTGTCAAGTTTCCATCTTATAAGGGGTCTCGTAACTTGAAGAGCCGTTTTACCAAGAAGATTTCTTCGGATATTAGTTATGTGCTCGACCACATCGTCCGATTAGGTAAACTTCTTCGGTGTTATCTCTTCGGCGGGTGTGGTCGGTGGGATGTGATATACACGCCTCGTCTCGAAGTAGATATACATGTATGGTAGCCGTTGGTTGAGACATGGTCCCACGATCCAATTGGATTTAGCATTGTGCATAATGTGCAAGTCACCTTACAATGCAAGGTGTGTTAAAGAGAGTATAATTAAACTTGGATTAACCTAGCGAGGCCCGCCATATCCAAACAGTCTCAGAAAGATCCTCAATACAAATTTCCCCGGGCAGTATTCTTTTATGCAGATTCTCAAGCTAAATGGGTATCTTTGGAGCTATTGACGCCCAGGCACACATTTACTCATTTCTCCAACCCCCTCCACCAGTGCGCTCTGTGGAGTTGCTCTTCAATATGTCAGTAACATTACCGAGGCAAGACATAATGAATACCAAGGGTACGCGGACTAGATACCTGTGTTCAACCTTATTCAATTATTGGCGAGATGAGGGTGCGAATGTGTTTCAGAGAGGTTCTTATCAAGGGATGCACGTCGCGTTTCTTGTTCTTCGGTTGTAGGCTCAACCGGACTTGGAGCAGCGACCTCGCTCAAAGCGCCATATTCATCTCTATCATCATCCCCAGTATCTGTCTGTGGCTTGCTTTCTGGTTTGGAACCTGAATCTTTCTTACGGCCACAGGTGAATATTCGCTGGAGTTTGGAAAGCGTCATATTATCCAATAAATGAGATCAAGGCGAAAGATGCTGTACAATGTAAGAGGAGGGTTTCCAATAGACCGGCATCCAAGACCCAGGAGACTATAAATGATTGGCCACTTTGCTACGTCATGACTATGAAGGGGTGGGCAGATTATCGGATACGTTTCCGAGTTGGCCCGAGTGTTAATTGGGCTGAAATTGTGTCGATGATCTTCAGATTCGAAATGAGGAGGTTCATCGTGTAGTCCGTATGTCGTTGCGATTATCTCGGACCTAACGTGCCGTTGTTCCTAACTCCGACCTTGGCATTCTTGTCTCAACCTTCCGCCTTGTGACTTCACTCCCTCAACTATAGTTACTTTCGAAGATGACTCTCCAAATTGATCAACCGCCTCTTGAGCAAATAAGTTCAGAAGATTCGATGGACATGTTGGATCCTCTGGCTCGAAGACGACTACAAAATCGCCTCAATCAACGTGCGAGCAGTAAGTGGCACTTTTATTTGCCACCCGGCATTAACTGTGCAGACTAACACCATACACAGGAAAAAGGAAGGCGTTAGAGTATAAAGAGAAAAGCAATACGGCAGAAAGGAAATGGGTTCTCTATATCGATGATTCGAACATCTCAAAAAAGAATGCATCCACAGAAGAAGGAACAAGCTATCAAGTTACTCAATCATCGCCACCTCGCCAAACCGAAGTCTCTTTTTGTTCCCTGAGCCCTGCCCAGCATGCTGCGCTTATGAACAAATTCCGTGCAAAAGCTTTGCATATGATTGAGAACCCGACCCTCCTGCGAAATCCCACCTTTAGCATCACCCAGTACAATATACTTCGAGCTATGTTCATCAACGCCGATCTCATGGGCCTCACATTAGAGCTTCTGAATGAAGACCTCGCGTCGCAGTTCAATCTCACCGGTCCATTAATGTCAGCGCTACATCTCCCAGCAAGCTTGTGCCCATCTCAGAAACAAAAGAAAATCATCCACCACCCCTGGATCGACTTGATTCCAATGGTATCTCTACGGGAGGCCATTTTGACTAGGGCGGATGTAATTGACGAAGATGAACTGTGCGGCGATTTTTACGGATCTTCTCCTTCCCAAGAAGTCGGGCTTCGTGTTTGGGGCGAAGCTTGGGATCCATCTGCTTATGAGATCTCGGAGACATTGATCAGGAAATTCAGTTGGATGGTAAAGGACTGTCCCGATATCATCAAATCTTCTAATCACTGGAGGAAACAGCGAGGGGAAAAGCCCATCAGGTTCAAGATCAAATGATATTTCAATGCATTTATAATAAACACATCAAATTCCTTTCAAATGTCTATTCCTTACAGCGAAAACTTCTCCTGGGTCAGTTTTTCGCTGAGTTCCCACAATTTAGTCCAATTGCCTTCGTCGCTGAGGTGCGCGTGCAATTCGTCGTCTGCGACTGCGTTCCGGTTGATGTATGATCCATTGTAGCCTGGGGGCAGGATTAGTCGAAGACACTATAAAACGGGTTATGGGAGGTGTTCTGCTTACCTGCGATGGTAGGGTCGAGCATTCCTGTGATGAGGCCAGCGGCTCCCTCTGAGGCAGTGGACCATGGGGGCACTTCGAAAGGCTTTCCTTCGATGTCGACCAGGGCTAAGAGATCGTTTAGTGAGGAGCAGAAAACATTCGACAATAGGGCAATCCATACATCCAGCCTTTTTCCATTCTTCGACCTGGTCCAAAAAGTCAGGAGGGCAGTGTCGTTGCAGACCGGTTAGAACAGCTAAATGATGGTCAGCTAGATCCACCTAAATAGTAAGAAGGAGAAATAAGACATACCACCAGGGTCAATACTAAAAACGCGGATCTTCTCGCCCTTCAACTTCTGGCCTAGTCTTTTGGCAAACATGACTCTCGCGGCGTTCGACTGGGCATACGCGACCGTAGGGTCATATGTCCGACCATCCTACAAGGAAACGGAATGTCAACGTGGTTGAATATAACGGGTAAGTAAAACTTACACTAAAGTTGTAGTCATCGAAGTTCATCTTCCCTTGTTTAGCCATGCCCGAGGTCATGATAATCACAGACGAATCGGGCCCCGCAGCACGGATCTTCGGTAGGAGCAATTTGACGAGCAGGAAGTTCGCTAGATAGTTGACTCCAAATTGGCTCTCAAATCCATCCTTTGTCTTGGTGTAAGGCGGGAACATTACTCCAGCCACGCATACAAGGTGATCGATGTGAGGCACATCTGCTAGGTCTCCGACGGCGTTTCGCACGGCGGTCAAGTCACTCAGGTCCAGGTTGAGGAAGCGAGTCTCCACGTTCGGCTTGGATGACTTGATTTTCTCTCTGATGCCTGCCACCTTTGATTCAGCACGGGCACTCAGGATGAGTAGTTTTGGGTCGGCGGTGGAAAGCTGGAGCGCAAGTTCTCCTGCGATGGAGTTGTCGGAAACGCCGGTGATGAGCACTGTGATGAAGCAGCCTCTGTCAGCGCTTTTTTCTTTTTTAGATGAGGGGAATATTTGATTACCTGTCTTTCCGGCAAGTGCCTTGCCATACTTCTCGAGGACAACCTCAGAGCGGAGGATTTGCTGCTTGTTGGTCATTTTGGATGAAGGTGTTTGGAAATAATGAACTAAGCAATGGAGAAAGCAAAGAAGTCTTGATTGATATATCCTCCACTTGACTAGACACAACAGTCCACTTTATACCTTTTCTTTCGGCGATAATGGGATTAAGTGTTTTTGAAAGGCATCGCTAGTATAGTTCAGATGGACCAATCAAGACCCGGGGAAATTCCCACTAGAGGTCATCCCTTGCCGTATCGGGTTAGCCCAATGTCATCAAGTATCAGATTGTTTCTTCAATAATTATTCCTAAGCAATTAGAAGATGATAGAACGTAATGGGGATATACTAAGGAGTTAAGATGAAATATCCGTTAACTCCTACTACAGTCTTGGCTCTATGCAGGCGAGATTACATGTTAGAACATGTTGAAGTAGGATATTATGATACAATTGCACTTTGATAATCACAAAATAGAGTACAGTAAACTAACTATAGCTGTACAATGTATTCCTTTTGAGAACGAGGGAACCGAAATATGTCTAAACCAAGAGAACATAATCCATCAAACGCATAAAGCCACCTATGGTGCACATGTACGATCTCCCCTCATTGTACGACTTGTAGAAGGATTGCCAATTTAGTCATGCTATTGAACAATTAGGGAGCACCAACTCATATTAAGGACCACTTAGGGGCAATAGTCATAGATTGGGCTAAGTACAAGGGTGAAATCACTCTGTTGAACTTCCGTTCCTTGCCTTCTATCGGCAATGACTCGGGGCTCAAACGGAGATGGGTTGCATTGTAGAAAACGCCAGTGGCAATGATTTTAGAAAGAAACACAGGCTATTGATCTCATCGTTGGGTTTTTGGGTGTAAATGGGCAAATTAGAATGATATCCTTGGAAAACTCCTCGCGAAACCATGGAAAGAGCCAGAGTGGTTGAACAATCCGCGACAGCCGAAAGATCGGTGCGTGGTTCCTGCAAGACCCGAAGAGCCCTTGCTAATAAGAATAAGTATGTCCTTAGCAGAGAAAGATCCCCATTTGGCAATGAGTATATCATAACAGACTCCCGTGACTTGACTAGATAGCCCGATGCAACAACGGACCTGTTGACGGAAGACTAGAGACATAGATTTGGGCCAAGACGAGAAATGGTAAATGTGATTATTAGATTCAAACAGGAGGCTAAACCAGAGCCACCGGCCCGATTGTCTACACGTATTCAATACAATGCGCCAAACCAAATAAAACAAGAAAAGGTCATCACACATATCAGCGGGCAGGCATGAAGTAGCAGTGCCCCAAAACAGCCTGCTCTAGAACCACATGATGCCTGCAACGAGACCGATCACAACGGCCATACAGCTTCCATGGAGCTCATGTGAGTGCCGACCAGCGGCAGCATCGGTGGAATCCTCAGCGCCAACTTTTTGTTGGGGCGGTGCTTGCTCAGATGCGGTGATTAGGTCTTGATTTGAGGCGGCAGCGTTGGGAATTGTGGATTCGGGTATTAATAATTTAGAAGCGCCGTTGATCTGCTCCGCGGGGAATATCGATTTCGCATAATTTGCTCCGTGGAGTCCGACGCGCTTTCCAAAATCAATGGCGACATGACAGGCCTGCTGGAACATGTCGCGGAATGAGGCAGGAGATGGCAACAATGGCGTCTGTATGCTGTCGGAGGAATTATTATATGACAAGATGTTTGGAAGAGATTCGATGTCGGATGCGGTTGGTAGGGATTCATTGATGGTGATGGTAGAATCCGGATGCGTCAAGCCCGTAACTAGGCTGCGGTTGGAAAATGAGGCGAGGAATGGGTAGTCGTCTAATTGCTGGATGAAGTAGGTTCTGAATGCGCGGGCTCTGCGACTGAATGAAAATGAGGATTCGCGGGTTGACGATGCAAGTCGACTTTTATTTGCGACAGCGGTCGTTTCGCTGGGCGGGACCACAGCGGCATTTCCAACCCGCGCAGTAACGGGTGGGCGATTACCTCGCGATCGATGTGACGCAGCAAGAACCCATGATTTGCGAGGCTCGTTGAGCGGCGGTGCTTTCGGTGCTAATTCGGTGACACCATCTTGAAGGAGAGGGACATCTGGACAGTCGACTTGGTTAGTTGACTCGGATGAGCTGGGTGGCGGAAAGGGGGACATACGGCGAACTGCGCCGGTGTAGAAGCTGAAGTCCGCAAACTTCGAGTGGTAGAGACTCGGTAGTGACGGCACCAATGTGAGAAGCGAAAACACAATGAGGATGAGGAGTGGAAGAGCACCAGGTTTATCCAAGCCAGACCGCATCGTCCCTGCTCCCTGGCTCCGTCCAGAAGCTTCGGAGTGGTGTTTTGAGGTTCAGACTTCACGGGAATCGAGGAGAAGCAAGAATGACAGTTTCAAGGCCATGGAGGGGACAAGCTCGGGTGTTTCGCGGTTTCAATGCAACGTTCCGTGAGATGCAGTGTTTCTGCAGAGCAACGCGCCGACGCGCAGGGGGGGCTGGTCTATCTAGAAGGTGGCCGGGGACGAGATTTAGGAGCTTGAGGATAGAAAAGATGCGAGGAGGGCACAGATGCGGTGGGTTCAGGTGGATTCGACGGGGTTAAGAGTCGAATGAAGCACGATAAGGAGCCCTCGGGGTAGGTGGATGCGCTTCCTTGGCTCTTCTCTTTTTTTTTTTTCGCACAGAGCCCCGAGTATGACGTCGATGACCGTTTTGTAGAACAAAAACAACCTGGACTTATTTGAAATGTGCCGTTTGATCTGGAGTGTATAAAATCCCCCTCTGCCGAAAACGTCGAGGAATGTTTCCCACGTTGGCCGCATTTTGACAGTTTGAGGGTTTCCCTTCCAACAATGTGGGCCTGAGGCATCACCGTCCCTAGCAACATGTCGATCACCAAAGAGAAAAACAGGATTCTGCATTAAAGATCCTGGTTGTTCAGTAGTTCATCGACTATTTTATTTATTATTCCCGCTTTAGCCCTCGTGCATAGTGTGATGTGCGCTAAGTCTATTGCTCGTGGCAACCGGTGAGTACCGAATGTCGTGACGGAGAACTTCCAGTACTCCAACGAACCATGGCTCCTAACCAGCATATATACATCACTACCTAGGTATATGATAAGTATCGGTGAGCTAACAACTTCATATGTAGCCAAAGCTGCTGAAGAAGTGGGGGTTATTTCTGGCTATACATAAGTACCCCGATAGGTAGTTAGTCAATAGCATAGGGCGCAAAACATGTCATTCCATCGTCACGTGAATGAAAATCATCACAGCGTAGCGCATATTTACAGGTCTCAAAAAGAAATGCATAATGTTATATACACATATGCTTGGTAAAAGCGAAAGCCAAGAGAAAAAAATAAAAGAAGCGAAACATGCCAAAGACAAGGACAAGAATCGGAGCATCATCTCTTCTTTAATCATGCACATTCCCGTCTCCATTAAAACGGATTCATCATAGAAGCATCAGGACCAGCCGGCCGGCTCTCTCCCCCACGAACTCCAGAAACAGGAGTAGATTTCGTCACCGGAACTGGCGAAACGGTAGTCGGCACACTAACATGACTAGGCGAGCGACTACTGCGACTGTGTGAGCCACCACCGCGGGAGACACTGCTCCCGGGAGTGCCGGTACTGGAACCAGGCTTCCCGCCGCGTTTGACCATCTTCCCCAGCACAGTGACGATCTCTGCGGCGTCTTCGAAGCTTTCGTCGTCCATGCCTTCTTGGGAATTGTAGACGTCCGCGATGGCCTGTTTTGCGAGGCGGCGGCACGCAATAGGGTCTTGGAGGCAGTCATATAGATAGGCCGCGTATTCCAGCTTGACGGAGAGACGCAGAGGGTGCGAGCCTGGTAGGAGTTTGTCGGAGAGGGTTGCTGCGTGGTTGAAGCAGGCTGTTGCTGTGGCTGTGTAGTCTAATGGGGGGAGGAGGAAGGAGGAGATGGGTTGGGGTGGCTGAACTGGTTGCAGTACTGGAAGGCCTGGAGGACGGGATGTTGGTGTTGATGCCGCATTGATTTTGGACTTGTAGGGGTGGGAGACGCCGAGGGCGGTTAGGGTATCTGCGCCGTATATGGAGTCATGTTTGAAACGTGTTGGTATGTCGGTGTCGGGAGTAAAAATTGGGCGACTGTGGAATAGGACGAAGATATGGTAGAAGGAAGCGCGGAGTTTGTAGGCGAGCACTTTCAGCTCCACAAACCTGTCTACCATGGGGAGGATGTAGCCCTCCAGTATTAGTAGGCCTTCACGGGAGAGCCATATAATACGATGGTACAGCTGAAGGGATCTTGTTTCACGTGTTGTGTCGAGTCGCCGCAGCTTGCGGGCTCTAAGAAGCTTTTTTGATAGCATGACGGAGACTCCGAGGACTTTGTATAGCATTGCCGAGAGCAAGGGATTTTCGAGGTCCATGACGGCCGCGAAATTGCCCAGGGCCTTCTGATCCACTTCGGAGGAGGCCATCCATAAAGCCCACGACCCGGAAATTAGGAAGTCTGTATATATCGAGTCAGCCATGTTGGTCATGAGTCTCAAGCAACAGGCGTAAAGGTTCGGGGAAGACCAATTGGCCGAGACTCAATTGCGAGGCTAGAAACCCCTCAACAGATAAATGAATAGGCAAAGACAACGCCAACTTACCGAAAAGCGCGCAAACAGAATTTCAAATAACCAAACGCAGCGACTGAATCATGCTCCAGCCACGCGCGTATCCCCGAGCCGCGGACCAATTGATCTACGAGATCGATCTTGGCGTACAAAAGTCCAAACTATTCCAGCGATGCGCCGGAGCCACAATACGGAATATCCGAAACCAAAAACACCAAGTTCCGCGCAAGCTGCAAGGTTCAGCTGGACCGAGGGGGCGGCGATTGTTCAGACCGCGGAGTATATCACAGCCAATGGCTTTAGTTTCTGGGAGCGGGCACCAAATCCAATTGCGACAACCGAGTATATAATGTTTGAATTGTAGTAGGTAGTGCGGTCCGCGCGATCAAATCAATATTTCCTGTTTTGATCTAGCGACGGCCGAGTTTTGAATGTCGTATTCACGCGGTGTGGTGGCTGGGAATCCGGCTAGCAACGCAAGGAGCAGGCAATGAGGTGACGGAGCTCGTGGCTGGATTGGAAGTAGAAACGCATCGTGCGGCGGCAAAGTAGGGGGTAGAGTGGGCGAATGCGACGATTTTCAGTGCCGGCGAAGTCTGTGCGGGGAAGGAATTGGGGACTTGTCTCGGGTATGAAGCTACTAGCCCGGGGGCTCGAGCTAGAAGTGCTGGGGGGTTAGTGTTATTATTGTAGATGTTCGGGCTACCTGTAGGGAGTCAAGCCCGTGGATTAAAAGAGAATTAGGAATTGAAAGATATTCGCAGACTGCAAAAATGCAAGGTCATGCTAGCTGCGTGGTTTCCCCTGATATGACGAAGAGATCGGGTTGGACTCGGGATAGGTGTATGGAGTATTGTATAGTAATGGTTACTAGTCTGTCTTGGAGTCCCACAGTCAGAACAGAATTGTACAAAATTGTACAGAATTCATTGGCATAGATGTGCTACGAGTGGAGGTAATGGACTATTTGTATAAAGCAGACTCAGTAGGGTGCAATTGCAGTGCCCAGTGGCAACTTCTCTCACTCTAGTATATTAAATGCTGTGCTGTCCTGCACTAGTCTGAGTTTCGTGATGTCAATTGATCCTGTTAACTCCCTAGTAATGCCAGGTTTGCTACGTGGCAGCGGCTCAAGGCGAGAGACAATTAGGGCAGCATCGCAGATTGGCTGGGCACTGCCTGGCTAAATAGGTGCCCAAGTCCTCGGGCCAGATTACTTTGAATGTACCTGGGCATGGAAACCTTAGCACGGACTGCCACGCTGGCAGTGGCTGTGATTGTGTGTATTGGTATTATTAGTGTAGTTATGATAGAAATCCACCTATCTGATGTGATGGAAGTGAGAATTGTATGTTATAGTGTTCATTGTACAACCTTGGACATCCATTGATCTACATTCACTATAGAAGAATAATACATCGTTGATATACTACAGCTCTGCAACTTACGTTGTGTTCTCAAATTACCGTATCTGAGCTGTTACACCGCCAGAATGATGCCCCTGTTGATCGCCCAATTAGACTAATCCATTGTATATAACTGTACAGTATGTTGCAGACAAATTGGTAATTTAAGGTCTTTTTCATTTGACTGTAATTTTTACGCCTGTTTTCCATATCCAACGACAAGTAGTCTCCACTATAAGTCTGAGATGCAAGCTATGTATCGTGCATGCAAGAGTAACCAAAGAAAAAAATGCTAAAACAAAATCGCCCTATTCATCTAGGTCATCAACTGGGAATCCAACAAATGCGCGCCTCAAGAAAACCCGCCAGATATCGTTCGCTGGCTTCTTTTGCTTGCTAGCCGACTCAGCGCCTTGGCTATTGGCATCGCTGGTGTGCTTTTCTTCAACTCCTTCCTCGGCAATTCTAGCTGCGAGTTGGAAGAAGCTGCGTACTGTCAGGTCTTTCATTTGATACACGTCATCATTTGTGGTGTACTCGATCTCGTAGTCAAGACGATGATCGTGGCCTCGTTTGCCTGCCGCGATCTGTTCGTGGATTTTTGTTAGGTTTGAGTAATATTGAGTGTAGCCAAGCATCGTAAACGCCTGGTTCGAGTATGCCGGACCGGGAGGGGCGGTTGGCGATGGGGGCTCGGGGACTTTGAAATTGGGTTTCTTTTTCTTGTCCTTGCCCTTTTTCTTCTTCTTCTGAATTTCGGGTGGTATTACAGAGTCGTTTCTGGTTTCCGGTGGATGAACTGCAGCATGATCCAGTTCAAACGTTGTATCGTCAACTTCACGTCCGAACAAATCCACACCATGTGTGACATCGAGTCCCGTGGTGTTGTAGTCGATCACGCGCAGACTGGGGAAGAAATTCGGGACCAAACTGGGAGACACTAGCGATACGCTGTATCGTTCTGCCCACGGGCCTCCAATCTTGTCCAGGAACTTCTGCTTCTTCTTCTTCTTTTTACCCTTCTTGTTTGTTCCAACCTCCGGGGAGATATCTCCCAGATTTGATATGGAGTCAAGCTCCTTGAAAATGTCCGACGGAGGAGATGGCAATGAGGACCATTGGTTTCGGAGTGACTGAAGGTAGTCGGTCTTTGAGCTGATCGACAGCTTCCCGTTGACATTTGAATCAATGTCGACCTTGTTGCTATCCTGGAGCATGAAGTGGTCGATGTTCATATGGCCGTAAAAGCTGCCGACAACAATGTCACGGTACTGGTGCATCCAGAGCGTGTATTTTTGCCAGCATGTTTCATCCCAGTTCTTTTTCTCGCTCGACCGGGCCGGGGGGACATGGCCCATGAGGATCGCTTTCATATTGCGACTGCGCAAGATTTTCAACTGCACCCGCAACCACTCCATGTGCTCGTATCCAGGTTCCGACTTGGCATTGCATCCATCCACTGCGCTGTTGGAATCGAAGAAGTACATGGTGTTTAGGCTGATGACCGCTAGCCGACCGGGGATCACTTCCGTGGTGAACCAACCGCCCTCGACGAATGTGTGACGCTGATCTTCTGGGATAAACTGGTCCCATATCTCTGCAAATCGCTTTGTCCACTTGTTCGGGCCCTTGTTGAAGATGTTGTGGGGCATGATATCGTTATTACCGAATGTCGGGATTACAGGGATCGACATTTTAGGCACGCCATTCGAAGTCCCACCAACCCCTTCCTCACCGAAAATGCTAATCCATTTTTGCGACAGGAAGGCATTCAAATCCAGGATCTCATCTGCCGTGCGAGGGAGCTTCTCGTCATTGTCATGTCGGACAGAATCACCAGTCCAAATCACAAAATCAATCTCATCTTTTAAGTTTTCTTCGATCCAACGATATGTCTCATTCACAAGCGATAAAGCCGAATCGCAATCTGTGCCCTCGGCTCCAAAATACCCCGCGGGGCCCTTACCACGGTGGCACGAGCGATCGATCGAGGTTCCGGGCTTGTAGAGGCGGTCGGGATGGAAATCTGTTGGTCAGCATGAGGTTACACAACAGAAATATCAACATAGAGAACTGTCTCCTACCAGTTATATGCAAGAATCGTCCGCGTACAGGTTTGCGCAAACCCTCCGCCAGCTGCCCACTAGGCAGCTCCGTTGGACTGAGACGGCCCAACGGCTGTTGTCCCAAGGGGCTGGCGGAGATGGCGTCGGCAAAGAGGCCCAGCAGCAAGAAAATTGACTGCATGAGTCCTCTACACCAACTGGTACACCAAGAGAGAAATGTGGGTGAAGTTCAGGACCTCGGAATATTTTGGGTAAAGATCTTATCTGCACGGTCACGTCACTGGGCGGGCGCGGTAGCCGAACCCCAACTCACACGCGTAACCAATCAGAGGCCGGTGGTCAATTTGGGGAGGAATGTGAAGAGTTGATAAATGGTCTTTACTGCGAACTCAGTATAAAATTAGAAATTTAGAGTTAATCTGATATCCAAGACAGCCAATGACTTCATCACGTGCCAACGGCCTTGAGGGGACCTTGGGAGTTCAGGTAGAAACTTTTCATGGCCAGATCCCTCGCTGTACATAAGAAGTCCTTTCTATTTGATTGGTGCAAAGTGATAGGCCCGACGTGTCTACTTCGTACTATTATTCCCAGTAGTATTCTTCGTTCACGGTGTATGTGATGTACACGCGACCGTCTTGTCCGACAAAGATCTCCCCTTCTCCAACGAAGATCCTTTCCTCGAGTGTCATGGCCACGTACCGCCAATCATTGGTCTAGAATCATATATCAACTCAGCGCTATGTAGGATATTTCTTACAGATGCTTTCGGCTTGACGCGAAGGAAAAAGGGGCCGCTGTAGATACCGAAAGTTAGCCGTGATCCTCGATATATATGTAACATGGAAAGATATACAGCTGATGGTTCCCCTTCCACCTTGTAGCGTAGCATGAATGGCGTCCGCAGTGACTATCAAATGACCACGGATGTAATGTGAATCAACTACCGATATGTAAATAGGTGAACAGGCCAAATGATATTTGTTGAAGTTATGGCTCACGCCGTTGTCTGGAGTCCTGGAGATAGAAGCGATCAGCAAAAGGCTGGCGCTCCGGGTCCTCCTAAACATGTGTACTTTAACATACATGAGCTGGACTGTTGCGTCAAGGAATGTCTCCTCATTGAGTACAACATGAACGTATGGGCTGTCGACATTGATGGCAGTTGCAGTCACAGTCGGGACAAACTCGGGAAATGTCTCTATCCTAGCTCGGGTGCCGGGCTATTCAGATAGGCAGGAATGTTAGTAAAATGAGGGTCGTTCGGGATGAGAGATGCTTGGTGACTTACTACTGCGACGAACCCTTCGGAATATTCAGTGCCCGCTATAAAGCGGCAAACCCGTCAGTGAATCAGTGACATTGGACAAAGTGCTACAGATATGACCTACCAATTTCGAGTTGGCCGAGTATATTCGCCTGCATGATTAGTAAAGGT